CAAGTGGATACATTTACTTCCCAAAGTGCACGAACCGTTTCATGCGATAGGGAAAAGAAATACCTGTCAAGGATAGTACTGCTCAAACAGTCGCCCTCAATTCGTCGAGTGACTAGCACTACTACACAGACCGTGGACGCCAGTTCGAAGTTGTACTTTTCCGTTGTTTTGCTACACCAACAAGAACCATATGGTTCTCAACAATTGCCTACCGTCTACCAAATAATGGTTTGATATAACGATCTCACGAGAGTCAAAAGCTTCACTCTAAGCTACAAATGTACATTGTGGTCTGACGCTCATGTTACTTCATAATTGCAATAACATGAAAGCTTACGTTGGTTGCAACACAGTACAACTCATTTGAGGAATGACTCTTCGACTTCCAGGCGACTTTTTTGATCCTATGCACTCAGTTAAACGTGTTTCCAGTCGACCACAGTCAACTGACATTCCGTCAAACTCGACTTACGACTGAGAGCATACGTTCTGGCAAGCCACTTCTCAGTACGACGACCACTCGAAACGCAATACGAAAGAGACACTTCAAAGTTTATCACTGCAAACATCGTGATTATGCCATAGACAAGAACAAAAATTAACGACAACATCAACACTGACCGTCTTAAAGCTTTTTATTTAGAGCGAAAAACCGATTATGTCGACTTTTCTTCTGAGTAATCGAAATACACAAGCCTCAAACCCATGATCACATCCCTGGTAACCAATGACCACGACATAACTTCTCTGGTATCCGATAACTGGCCTTGAACAACGCGCCCCAGATGAACTACACGGTCTCGAGAACACTTAAACGACTATTGCATGCAGGACATCGCTTGAATATTTATTTTGTCTTAGTTTATGCGCACCAATATTATTTAGTGCTTTTTTAATACTAATGTGTCAAAGCAATTCTCCGGTATTCTTGCCTGTAACTCCGCCTGTAGCTCTCCTAGAGTTACTGCCGGTCCCAACACGGGTAAAGGAGGATGGTTGGGTATGGCGTTAGCGACCCTGTCCCGTAGAATACTAACTCGCTAAAACATGATTCAAACCATTTAAACTCTGTCCTAGGAGTTAGAAGGTTTTCATCTAGAAGGAATATGGCGCCTCATGATCAAAGCCGAGCCCCTTCGGAAGCCACGAGGCCCATTCCTCTATTAACAACCAGAGTAACAATTTTTATATGTACATGGGACGTTTGGACAATGTGGGAGACCGACAAGGTCAGTCAGATAGCAACATAAATGACGAGATACTACTTGGCAGTGCTGGGAATCAGCGAAACCCATTGGATACAAGCTGAACAGAAAAGACTGAATACGGGAGAGATGCTGCTGAACACCAGTCATGAAGAGGAAAATGCTCCATACACTCAGGGATTTTCCCTTATGCTGTCCGAAATAGCACGAAATGCACTTGCAGGATGGGAATCTCGCGGATCCAGAATCATCAAAGCATCATTGAAAACAAATCATCAAACTGCATCACGAGGCAAGCCCTAACTTGGAATCCTGAAGGGAAGTGGGAAAGAGGAAGGCCAAATAACACATTGCGTTTGAAAATAGAGGCAGACGTGAAAAAGATGAATAACAACTGGAAAGAGTTGGAAAGGATTGCCCAGGACAGGGTTGGATGGCGAATGCTGGTGAGCGGCCTACGCTCCTTCACGAGGAGTAACAGGCGTAAGGAAAAATTATTTTCTGTGTGTGTTGTAATGCAACACATGGCCGCTAATATTAAAAAAGATGATCATATCCCGCTGGACCTATCAAACGAGTGTTTACCAACGGTAAGCTAGTTGTATTTAAACTTCTGGCTGGGCACGCTTTAGGGACATCACCACATTGCTACATGTGAAGTGAGCTGTAGGGTTAGATAAAGGCACAAAACAAATAGTTCTGGATTTCTCCAACGTTGAAGCTGAACTCATTGGTCTTGATGGAAACACCCTAAGTGAAGTCTATCCGTTACGCATCCACACCAATTCACCGTTCTACGCATATCTTGCAAATACTAGCCAGCTCAGATCAAACGTTTGTAGGTATATGAACAACTTTCTAAATATGTCTTTATTTCCGACTTCTGGTTTGACTTGGTCTAACATCTTTGGCTGGATGAAAAAAGAGACGTATCATTACTAAAGTAATCTATTAGTATCCCGACAATCATAGTTAGAAAACCTCTTGACTCGTAGAATAGTTGAACTTCTCACGTCTCTTGTCTCATGGCAAACGAGACACATCTGGGTTGTTGTCTCTTCAGTTAGTTTGTAAATAATTGCGCGAAATTCAAATTAAGGCGTGACATGTGCAGCTCTGCATCGTGTTTTATTAGAACATAAGGCCTTAGCTCGAAAGTACTAAGGCCTAACCCCAACAATTATAATAAGCAAACAATTGATTCTGCAGATTGTTACGATTTTAACGTGCTTTACAATGCACTACAATTTACAGTCTCTTTTCATACAATAAGTCTAGAAATGGGGTTGTGAATGTCTATTTTTTAATCAAGTTCAATTTGTTAAAGTGCACGTATTTTTAATTGATAATTTGTTGTGAGCTATGAATAGCATAACACAGTTAATTAAGATCTGACGTAGATGCTCAGTCGATCGCGAAGGGTATGTACAGTAGCATCAACATAGTATCACTATCAAGGATAAAATAATTGCTTTGTAAATTTATTCGTTTACTGGTACAGTCAATTAGGGTTTGTAGGAAGTGTGGTGGGGATGCATCGTTGAAGTTGGGAAATTTCGTCTTTTGGTGCATTCTTTCTGAATCTTAAGGATGAGAATAGATAATTGGTAGATGTGGAAGTGATTGTCAATTAACCCCCACAGAGATTGCTTGCAATGTTTTTAAAAATAGAGTAAATGTACAATCTTCTTTTGGGAGACTATAGAAGGTTTATTGACTGCTTCCTGGAGAATTTTGGAAAAACCTATATGTGACCACACGCATGTTCCATCGTAAATGTATTTACTATTAGATGTAGTTTAGTATTAAAACGTAAATCAGTCTATTCGCGTGGAGGGATTATATCACCTCAATTCCTTCGAAACACGGAAAATATGGAATTTACATGGGGGTAAATTAAGGCACATTCTCTAATTCGAGTGAATCTGCTATCGGTCTTCCTTAATCACATTTCAAGACAGAAACAGCTTTCTTGTGACTGAGTTGCATGATCAAGGAGTCTTTAGCAGATGGAATTTCGAGTATACATATGTTGTGTTAAACTGTAGATTTGGGACACATAACATGCATTAAGCATTTACTACACCCTGTCCCAGTATCTGGCGACTAATATTCCGGCAGTCAGAGATTATGCCGCCTCAGTAAATTGGTTGGTTGATGTAGTTGAACTGATCAAAAACGAATAGACTAAGTTCGAAACCACATTGGAGGCCATAACAAGATTGTTCATCCCATGATCAACACGTGAACTATCACGCCACTTTCCATGAACTGGTAAGTGCAAGTACAGAAAAATCCGGAGTGTATGTAACAGGCCATATCTAGATCTCACGCTACTCAAGAAACGCAGTTGGCATAAGGTAGATAAACTAATCAACCAACCAGCCTGTAAAAATGGCGTGTACCTGCCATTGCAGAAATATATCATTATTCATATATTGTTATTAGTCAAGAAAGATTCTCTCATCCGTTAAGCGAAGAACAAAATATTGCGGCGGAATTCCGGATATCTCGAAGGAATCCGACGTAGTTTAAGCTGTTTCGGTGAATTATAACCTGAGTGAATAGTTATTATTACTTACCATTGCTACGCTGTTAAGATACCAGCTTTCGTCTCTGTTAGTGACGAAGCTGTTGTTCAGTCACTTCAGTCACCTTAAGAGTTTGCGTTTATGAAATAATTTTAGGAAAAGAATGCTAATTTACATTGGGTGCAAAAATGATAATTCATATACTATCGATGGCAAATTTCATCAAAAGAACTAAAAAACCAAGTAGTAATAGGAAGCCAGTATTCGAAAACGGCTCCGAGTACTCTGGTCACCTAACCAGTGTTATAATGCTTTTACGAAGTTATGCTTCGGATTTTATGTCCGCTTGTGTGACATTTCGCTCAAAATATTGATTCCACGCAGTTAATCCACATTTTAATTAAGTTGCCAAACACTTCAACATGTTCGTTGCGTGAGAATTATGCTAGTGACAGATCTTCCTCAGCTCTTCTGTTGTGAGAAATCAAAACGTTGAAAAATTTTCTGATTCTTGGCGATCTTATAATATAATTTCGTATCCCAAAGGATGATTTTAGCGTTGAGATGTGCCATCCTTTTGCTCTCAGAAATAATCATCTCCAAGGCCACAGTAAGAAGGTTCCCAATCTGTGATCAAATAAAGTCAGTGAGATTCCTTCTTAACCATCAAGTGGTCATGGATGATAGCAATTTACTGGAACAATTAATATCAACATCATAAGGAAAAACTTCAAGAGAGAAGCTGTACCTCCACAAGACAACAATCTACAAAAGTTAACACATATCAACCGACCTACTATCGTTACCACAGAAAGCTGAAGTGATACTGTGTGATGAGGGCGTGCTTTTATATCCTATGTCAAAGAACATGAAATCCTGTTCCTTTAACGGGAAAGTGGACAATTCAGAAAAGAGGAAGATCGGCGTTTCTGTTTGGTGAGATTGAAATGTAGACACAGTAAGACCGTGACAACCCTGAACACCTTATTTCTTCTGCCGTATATCTGAATTTTTTTAGATGCTTTCTTCATCAAATAACAGTTGAGAACTGTTTAATGATCTCAAATACTTATAAGAAAGTTTTGGTTACTTTTGAGTACTATAGAGCGCAGTTTTACGATTGGTTCGCTACCTTGTTAGGAGTATCACACTTGAGATACTACTATGTAGAATACTTTTCATCACATTAGATTGTAAAGGGTTAGGAAACTGTTATCAAAGGAGTCTGGAGAATGCGAAGTCTTAGGATATTTAGAATACTATAATGCTGATGGAAAGTTTGGAACCGATTTTGCGCCCTGCAGATGTAGCATCCATTTTACTTTTAGTGTATATATGCATTCAGTATATAGGTTCGTTTCTTGTTTCTGGTAAAGATCATCACGAAAGAGCTGAAATAGTGCGTCAAAAGTTGGAAGCGGCTCGTGTAAGTTGGAAAATTTGTTCGGCGGAAGGAAATTTATAATCACATGAATATTTATGACATACTTTTTGTCACTTTTCCCTCAAAGCTGCGGATCCTGAAACTTTTAGGCGAAATCTTGGACGAGATCGCAGGCCTGGGAAGAGTTTGAGTAAATTTTGGGAAAAACTCAATCTCCCGGCTTTTGGGAAATTGTAGGGTTTTATCCAAAATTTATTACTTGGTGAAAACCACCAAACCGGCGGAAAATCTAAGGTTTTAGTTAAATATTACCAAATTTCTGTCGTGGGTTTTGCTCAAGATTGCTAACCTTTTTCCCAAAGTCGCGAGAGTGGGAAGTCCCAGTCTCTGGGAAAGTGGGTGAATTCAATAGAAATCCTACATGTGGGTAGATTTTGGGATTTTCAGTTGACTTTTGACAAAGTGTGCCCAAACGTTCCAATGGGGTTGTCTAAAAATCGATTAATTTTGTCCCGAGTTTGGAAGCTTGCGGTATATATTTGTAAGGAAGTGACGCGCTCAGGTTAGAAAATTCATAGTTTTTGTAGACTTGGTTTTGTAATTTATTTCAGTTGTCAGTTATTCAGGGTATTGAGGTTGTAGTTAGACTTTCCACCAAAATACACTAAAACCGTGAATCCTCTTGATTGTGTTAGAAAGTACGGGATGTGAACCTGGCTTTACAGTCATGAAAGAAGGTATCTAAATACCGACATGTTTTTTGATTTATTGGTACTATGAAACGATGTAAAGGGTCGCATGTCGGAATTCGATGCATCATCACTTTGTCATTTTCAAGTTTTGGGGCAATTAAACGGATTTTCAGTCTACTTTAAATAACCAAAATTTAGTCAAGGTTTTCTGTTAAGGTCGTCTTAAATTGATACAGTTTGTAACATGGCGTTAGTTCCTCCGTCTTTTTATGTCTATGGTCTGATGTTAACCAACAATACCCTGGAAATGAAACGACTCATATTTTCCATCATTTAACTAACTATATTCTTATTTTTTTGTTTTAGAAATATACCCACAGTAAACCAATTATCTTGCTGATATCTTTAAGTGGAGTTAAAGTTTGTCATGAAAATAAGGAGGTGAGGTTTATGATAAATTTCAACGTGTATCTTGTTTTCGATGTAACTAGTGTAAAAGAATGTAATTGCTTAATTTTGTTCGACATCTTGTAATTTCATTCAATGTTTTTTCCCCATGCTTTTGGAAGCGCGTTTATATGGCTCATGCACTTCGACGAATTTCGTATGCTACCTGTGACCCAGAAAATCTTCAGTTTGCCTTCCTTGCCAGGGAACCAAAAGCACAACCGAATGTCCAATATTGTCATGCATTCGTCACTATAACACCTGAAGCAGTAAGCTTTTAGCACCTTGGTGTCTTATTTATCATCTTTCATATCCAGCATGGCGATAATAATTTTTTAATCTGCTAACTTGTATGCTTTGTACTTGTAGTTGAACGCAAAATAAAAAACGTGAAAATGTTCCAAAATACAAAAAATAGTGTGAATAATTCAATTTCGTCGAAACAAACGTATAAAATTGATGAGAATCGGTTTCATGTTTATGTGATTGGTATTTTTGATACAATTTGTAATGACTTTAGTTACCACGTATGTCCAACATGTGCTGCATAGCTGATAAAACAGGTTTTAATTAATATGTCACCAATCCTCGTTACTGCAGATTTAAAAAAGCTTTCACTAGCCGATGTATTTATCGCTGTAATCTTAAGTTACACTTGACAGTTTCATCTTTCTAAGTTTCGGTCCTCTCCATCCTAACCAAGTTATTTTAGATAAATGGTTTTAATGCGTATATGTGCTTATCAGATTTCTGCTTAACATCTGGTATGTTTACCAAAGTTCAACTTTTTTGGTTTTAAAAGTCAGATACATTTACTAACTCATCTTGCTGATTAAATGTTTCGGTTTAAGTCATTCTCATGATGGGCAATGATTGCTACTGTGGATTGCAGCCATCAACCCGTTAATTCTGTAAATTGCCTGTAAATTGTAAAGCATCCCAATTGTATAGTCGTATTAAATCAGGATGTAATTTTTCAGAGCTTGTAAGATGCAAAGCTTATGGGGTCATCTATCATCTCATCACTTACCTGTTGTAAAGGTTTTTTGATAAACGGAAATAAAAGATGACAATTCAGATATGTATAAAAAATTTCAGGCAATCAAACGTTGATTCATTTTCACTGGTATCTGCATGCTGTTCAACCTAGAAACAAAAGCGATGAGTTTCAAAGTTTTACGAGGCTGCGACAGGTCAACTGCCTTTAGTGTATTTTGAATAAATTATGTATTTTTTGCCTTTAACATTTTGTAGGATTCACCTTTTTCCCCAACCGTATTTGTATACCTGTGTGTATTTTTTTCCCTGTTAATATGAAGTTCTGTGACATTTTACAAAAAGTACCTTCGAACTTTTGTAGGCTGAGGAACTGAATACCATAATGGGAGAGGTTTTTCGCTTAGCGTATGCCCAGCAACGTCTTAATACAGTATCTAACAATCCTGTTTTGTTTCACCAGTTTGGTAAGCATATACCAGTTTGTCAGGTTCAGCAAGCTCCCGTAACTGTCACATGTTCTGTTTCTGCTAACCAGGATAACTCAGTGAGCACAAAATCTTCAAGGTTGGTATTCTGAATTTACTCTTCTCTTTACTTTTGTAGAATATTGTTGCCGGTCTATACCATTAAATAAAGATTGCAATTGTGACTTGAACTGCACTATGACTTACCGGAATTTTTTTTTCAGTTAAGTCGTGGATTTAAGTCAGCAATACGAGATGAATAAAAGCGAGTGTAGACCATTCACTATTTTGTAAACTTCTCGCTTTTGACCGGGTTATGTAGATTTTGTTTTATCTTTAGTTATCGATAAAACTTTGGAGGCAACTACTCAGATATCAAACTGTTTATTTCGCGAGAACAGTCAGTATGGTCTTTTGATTGATACTATGTTGATATTTCATGGGAAATTGAGCAAGTGCATATTCATGATAAGTTCTTACGTTGCTTATAACTCTGACCAGCATTAAAATCAAGGGTTTTCAAGTCACTCTGGTCTCAGTCTAAAACCATTATTTTAAATAACGGCAAAAAGTTTCAAAAATTTGGTGCCTTAGCTACGAAGGTAGCTTTACTTATTAACTTCGCTGGCATCAATGGTACATATCGATCAATTTAAGGGTATATAGTTTCACTTTGACAACACCGCATGTTAATTTATTGAAATAGACATTCCGTCCAAGTAAATATCCCTTGATAACACTGTTAGATAATCCATGATCTTTATGATCGTTTACTTGATGGTTCTAGTAGATTAATTCAACTGCAGTCACTGAAACAAATATGTCTTCCGTTTTTAGTTCTTTACGCTACTGTCAGTACATGTAATCCTTATTTCTCACACACTCAGTTTTAACCTTTGTCATTGTCATATTTGATGGTTTTATTTTCCAAATCATTTCAATTAATAGAACTACAAACACAAGTGCCTAAGTGGAATAATAGATGCTACGAAAGTCAATTATAGTTGATCTCTTTTCGCGATAGATTATATATTCAAATCATGGTATTCCTAAAAATGAAATATGCAAAATGAGAATTACTTGTTAAAATATAGGCATAATGGCTAGTTGTTTAAGTTAGTAGAGCTGTGGGATAATTACTGAAGCACTTTCAACCAGTAGGTTGCAAGTTCAAATACTGTCCCATTTACGTCGGTTTCGACAACTTAGTGCTACCAATAATCCTCGCAAAAACAATAGAACTCAAGGCAAGTGTACAAACATGTACTCCGTTAATAAATTACATTAATTCAAATTTTTAATTTAGTTATTTAGATCACATTGTTTTTTTATACATTGATATACCCCAATTTGTTGGTTGATATCTGTTTCCTATAATCCTATTACCTTGTTTCATTGCATTAATAAAGTTTTACATTAGGTTCGTTTATCGTTATTTGTTTTTTTAGTCAAGCTGTTTACTCTGTCAACTTAAATCCGACCAATCAAATATCCATGCCTAGCAAACTTCTCCCACCTTTACCAGAAGCTGATCATTGTGCAGCAAGTAACCAGACACCTGTTTCTGTCCAGTTTGAAGTGAACAATGTTCCATCAAGTGAAGTTTGTGCTGTCGGTGATAGACAGAGAGGAAGTAAACCTCATAAGTAATTATTAGTACTAATTATCTAGAAGCTTATCTACCCAACATTTCGAAATGCTTCTTTTGAGCTTTGCTTTTTTACTTACTGATCTTACTCTATAAAACACTATTGTTCAGATGACTTAAATAGTTCAGATTTTCAATAAAAAAATTAGGATACGCATTCTCTGGACTGGTATTAGTTTTCACGCGTCTTATAGTGCATTAGATCGTTTTTTTAAATCCTAAACGAATATTGACTGAGAAAGTGTCAGAAAAATATTGACCTATAAGCGGTTATTGTTTTCCAACTAACTTTTTTCACAATTCCAAGTTGCTAGGCTTCATTCTTATCTGTCGTCGTCCTCCAAACAGTTCGCTTCACTGTGATGGTTAGCCTTGATGAGTCAATCACTGTTATCATAAAGTTCTATTATGTGTGGTGGATGCTACTTATGTCTGTCGACATAAGTAGTATGTAACACCAATCAAAAGTTGAATAAGTGTCAAGAGAAGGTTGAAGAGATTGCATTAGAAAAAGCAGAAAGGAATTGTGAAATGGAGAAATCATGAAGGTTGTAGAGGACAATCGATGGAGGATTTGCAAATGAAGTATTTAATGTGTGGTTTTCACATTTTACGAAAGAATTCTGTAATTTTGCATTGAATAATAAATTGGTTGTCTCCACCTGAGTGTTCGTTCACTACAAGTGTACTACACACTAATTTTTATTTACTAAGCGTCTGATAACGATTTGCGTTGCTGATATCTATCGGATGGTAACTGATATTTCTGTTTTAATTTGTGGGTTTATGATTCTAAATTCTAATCATTCTTAAATCGATATTCCACTAATATATTTTGATAATATCGCCAAGTATCATAAAGTTAGTCACCGTAATCTGCTGATATTATATTCAAGAGTGCAGCTTTATCTCCTAAAATCGGTCTGCATGGAGTCATTGCCTACCTTATGAGTCATTTATCAACTATTTTGTCGAAACGAAGTTTTCTCACATTAAAAATAAGTTACATGAATAATATATTTAGTCTAGTTAAAATAGTTTTTATCAGCCGTATATAAAACGTAAGTTAATGCATTCACCTTAGAAATGCTTCTGGTTGTATTATGTATACTGTGTCAGATGAAGAGATGGCTTAGTGGTTATGTGCTGGGCTTTCGACCAGTAGATTTCATGTTAAAATTCTACCTCTACCTTTATCAGAGCACCCGAGGTGTATCACTACCGCTCACACTAATAATGTAGCTCAAAGTCTAGCAAACAAGATTGTACCTGTTCAGTGGGAATCAGTTACTGCGTGAAACAAACGTTCCCTCTCAAATGATCGATTATTTAAGGTTTCCATTTTTTATTTCAGTGTTTTTGAAAGAGTGGTTTACATTTTATTCAAAATATAGTGTTAAGTTAAAGTAATGTTTAGAAATCCCCATTTCGTCAATCAAGTTTTCATTTTCACTGGAATTCATTAATTTGAAACGGTGCTATTCTTCTTTGCGATATATTTTACAAAATTTGGTTGTTGTTGGAGCCTTTTCAAGTTGTTTTATGCTTATCTTAAACATTATTTGCGTAGAATAACTAATTACCTACGTTTGTGCTATCTGACCTGTGTACGAGTGTTGTACAGAACCTCTACATTTACAGTGTAACAAGATGAATAGTAACTTACCAACATTATTGTTGCCATCTGTTACTCAGTTCTTGGAAGGACCTTACAGTTTTAAAACGGATGAGTATTTAGATTTTGTTGCAATTCGTACCCTTACATGTGTTTATTATTTTTATTTTTTACAGACATAAACATCACAAGCATCATCATCGTCATAAATTACGAGATGCAACAACAAGTACGTGTGAACAACTTTTAGGTTCGAGCGACTCTGTTGACCCTACTATTAAAGTTAATGAATTGGAAGGACTCATAATGAAAAGTGAACAGATAAAGCCACCTCCCCCACCACCGCGTTCTCATTCATCAGTAACTTCATCTACGCAGCTCTCAACTAAGAATATCACATCTACCCCAGCTGCAAATCACCAAAGCCCAATTTTAAAGCATCATGAAAAATTACACGAAATGGAAGTAAATAAAACCCTACATGAAATGACTGAAGATCCTACTGAGGTTTTACTGTCAAGACCTAAATCTACGACATCTGCGTAAGTTCAATGTCTTTTTACGAATCTTTTCTCCTTTTTATTACATCGATGAAGAATATGATAGAATCATTTGTTCTGTATGAATTCTCTCGCCTTACGTCAGGATAATAGCTTTTCTTTAGTATTATGATGATTCCTTATTGACAACTTTTTACTGAATAGGGAAATTAAATTCTAATTAATTGTCCCGCAGCAATCGCTTAACAGTTAAAACGCTCAAAAATCAGACCGCTGGTTCTAACTGTTATATTTCAAGTGGGGGGAACAGACAGCAAGCGAATAATGTAACCGAAGTACGAATCACATTTTACTTCTGTATAAGGCTTGTCCGCTACACAGTCAATAACAACGTAGAACTTCGTACGTACGTCCATCAGTTCGAGTTGCCACACCACATTAGCACAGAGATGCAGTGGTCGATTCAAATCCCGTAGTGGTAGAGGTAATAAGAGTATAAGCAGTAATCGGAAAGAATAGTGTTTGGAGATGTTACTTAAAGAGTATAATACAGTGAAATAAACTTGGGAAGAGGAAAAAAGAGACAAGGGGGAATCAGGAGATCAAAATTTGGGAGAACACAAAGAGTGAATGCACCTGCGCCATTGCAAACGATTTTGAGCCATGTCATTCAGGGTCTCTAACCATCGGTTGCTATCATCTCGTGGTCCCCAACCAGGTAGTCTACACCTACCAACATGACTCAGACCACTTGTCAGTGACTTCATGGATTTGTGCCATGCTTTGGTCTGGCCACCCCTAGCTTTCTTCCAACCTACTCCTATACCACTGAACATAGCACGTCGAGGCAGTCGGTGGTTGGGCATACGTAACACGTGTCCCAGCCATCTCAACTGCTGAAGTTTCACCACTTCATCAATTGATTTGTCATCCTTACCTAGTACCCGTTTCCTAACAACTGTGTTACTTACTCGATGGTCCCATGATATACGAGCAATGTTTCAAAGACACCTATGATCGAATACTAGTAACCTACGAATATCCTCTACTCTTACCGGTCATGTTTCACTGCCATAAAGTAGGACGGGACGAACTGCTGCGCAGTAAACACGTCCTTTGGTTGATAGACGGATATCTCGCCTACGCCATAAATGACGCAAGTTGGCAAAAGCTAGTCGAGCCTTCTGTATCCGTGCTGAGATTTCGTCACACACCAGACCACATGGGCTGATGAGACTTCCAAGATAAGTGAAGCGATCGACACGCTCAATTACTTCACTCCCTATCACTAGTTCGGGTGTCGATGTAACCCAATCCTGAAGCAACATTTTGCATTTCGAGGGAGAGAATCGCATCCTGAACATGCTTGCATTGTTGCTTAAAGTGGTCAGAAGACTCTGCATTTTGTCAGCGTTTTCACCAAACAGAACTATGTCATCAGCATATTCTAAGTCAACAAGTTGACCTCCCGATAGAAGTTCAACCCGTGGAAATTCAGATGAGGAAAGTGTCATCTCTGAAAGCACGTCAATGACAAAGTTGAACAAGAATGGAGAGAGTGGACAGCCCTGACGAACACCACTTGAGGTAATCAATTCTGATGACAGTTCGCCATAAGCTCTCACTCGATCACTTGTGTTCGAGTAGAGAGCCTGTATAAGGTTAATGTACTTCTTTGGTACTCCTTTCAGTGCTACTCAGTGTTAATTGATTTGTCTCCCTATATATGAAACTAATAAAATAATAAAATGTTATTACAAACTTGATTAATCTTATTTATATTAACAATTAGGCTTTTTTTGGTTTCTTAAATATCACTTAGACTGGCACAACACTTCTACGATATGGCTGATCATCGCAGCTGTGGTGGTATCGCTCCTAACAAAGAAACTCCTATTCCAGAAAAAGATATTCAAGAAAGTAACACTGAATTTATCAATGATAGTGCTCCAGCCAATACGTCTACAGCAACAACGACGTCATCATCAACTACTGGGTGCTCAACCGCTACATCTGGCTCTGGTCATCCTGACTCGAGTTCTGATAATAGTTTACCGATTAGCAAACGTTGTACATGCACTCCAGGTTGCACCAGTGGTGAACATACGTGCGTAATATTTGATAATAATCCGCATCCTGCAGATTCGAATCAGTTGCTGAAACCCACTGAACAGCACCTTCCCGTTCCTCCCACATCTCCTTGCTCCACTCCAAACGTCCCTACACAAAATGTTCCAGATGATATAAATGAGTTGTCGCATGCTCCTTGGTATCTTCCAGATTTACCACGTGAAAAGGCTTTGGAAATGCTTGCCAAACAACCTGTACGTTTATTCTCCATATACGTTTTTGCGTGGGTTTTGTGTGTGTTATAATTTCGTTTGTTACAACCCAGCTACTCCTATTGCTTAGTATTCTTGGACACTGTTTCACTCGGCAAGTCCCCAAATTAGAACACAGTTGAACAGGAACGCAATTATATTCCAAATAAAAAGTAGGAAGTAGGAATCGCAATAAGAGAAACGTTAGTATATTTATAGTTTTTTTACACGGGAGGGTTCTAGAGTCTTCTTCAGGTATCCTTTAGCGCTGATTGGATAAGAAATAGCCAATCAGTGTGCCTCAGAATAATCCTGCACGGAACGTACTTTAATCTAATCTACATCCCACCAACAGTTTACCTCACTATCGTACCGTGGACTATCGGAAATAGCTCTGTTATGACGATTATGTTATTCTTATTTTATTTTATTTGAACACATAAATATTGGTACAAGAGGGCACCAAACATGTATGCGCCACACAAAACAATAAGAAAGGGAAGACAGAAAAAGGTAGGGAGCATAAAAGGAAAAAAGAAGAGCAATAACGACCAGATTAGTGTAAGGTAGTGTAATAATAATAATGAGGGAAAATGAAAGGTACAACCAGAAGAATTCTTTCGGTTAAGGAAGATACAACCAATTTTTATGAAGAAAGAAAAGGATGTTACAGCAGGATCGCCACTGGCTTCTATTCTGAGCCATATCTGATAACGTTTCTAGCCACTGTGTCGTACCATCTCTCGGACACTAGCCAGGGAGTGGTGAAGGACCAACAGAAACCAGCCCTTCGCAGATTTCTTTTATACCACGACACCATGTCATACACTGACCACCTCTTCGCTTTCTCCAACCACTCCTAACGTCGTCAAATAGTGCACGACGTGGGATTCTCTGGGACGACATTTGTAGAACATGTCCAAGCCACTGAAGTCGGTTTTTCAAGATGGTGACACCAATTAGACTATCGGCTCTGTGCCCGAACACGCGAGGCCGGACCTCTGCATTATTAACATGGTGTTGCTACTGGACGTCAGCAATCCTTTGGAGACAATGATGATCAAACACAGAGTTGTCTAACATCCTCAACTCGGAGAGGCCAGGTTTCACAAGCATAAAGCAAAAGTGTTCTTACCGACGCGTTGTAGACCCGACCTTTTACAGCTAGACTGACATCATGAAGGCGCCAAAGATGTCCCAGATTGGCATAAGCCGCTCTGGCTTTCATTATACGTGAATCGATCTCATCACTCACGCCATCACCAGCACTTATGTAGCTACCTAGATGCACGAACTTCTCGACTACTTCTGTCTTCTCAATTCGTGGAGTGAGTGCGGTATCAGGGTCTTGCCAGCCTTGTAGAAGTACTTTGCACTTCGAAGGTGCAAAGCACATACCGTACCTACGGCCATTGATTGCCAACTGATTAAGTGCGGATTTCGTGGCTTGAGCATTATCACACAGTAAGACAATAGTATCTGCATACTCAAGGTCGAGAGGTCTTTTCCCAGGCAACAGATCCACACCGCCATTACTTGCATCCATCAGAGCTGTTTTTAGAATGTCGTCGGTGGCAAAGTTGAGGAATGGTAAGGTTAGGCAACCCTGTCTAACCTCAATGCTTGAATGGAACAATGGAAAAGGGCGGTTGTATGCCCTCATTCTGCCTGAGGTGTTTGTATATAGGGCCTTTAAGAAATTAATAAACTTCTCAGGCACACCATTCTTCAATAGACAATCCCAGAGAACAGTCTTGTCCAACGAATCGAAGGCAGCCCTGATGTCAAGAAACACTGCGATTGTTGGCCTTTGATAAGTATGATAGCTTCTCAAAAGTTGGAGTTCCTTACGGAGTTCCGCCTCATTTAGTGTATCAGTCGTCACTGGCCATGGAGGGCAGGGCAGTTCGACCGATGTTGCCGGACCAGCAGGCCTGTTGAACTGCCCTTCGAAGAACTCTACCCATCGTCCAAGACGTCGATGGATGTTAGTGATTGGCATCCCGTCATCTTCGCAGATTGTTTCGCCATGGTTGATGGTAAAACTCACGGTCACTCGGAGTAGACCGACGGGTCTCGATGAGTTGTAAAGAACCTGAAGAAACCCATTGCTTATAAGCGAGACGTTCAGCGTAGCCTCAGGCGACTTTACTCGCCATTTTGATGTCGTCATGAGGTTTCAACCAATGCTCATCTATACTTTCCGGTGGGATGGTAGCTAGCCTAGAAGCTAGCTCGGTTTGATACTTACCAGCAACAGAAGTTGCAACCAACTTGCTGATATCAATCCTTTGGTGGCGGTCACCTCGTTGGCCACTGAAAAGTAAGGTAAGATTGGCGCAGACCAGGGCATGATCAGAGTCCATATAGGTACTCCAAAAGGAGCAGCAGCCTTGTAAACAACCACGCCATCGGTAGCTGATCGCGATGTGATCAATCTGATTCCAGGCTTGAGATGCAGAGGGAGAACGCCAGGTGATGACTATGCCGGAAACAGGTTGTAGTCTGTGCATAGTTGCATTAGACGGTCCCCGTTATCTGTCCTGTGACCAACAACTCCCCATCGGTCACCTAAACGATTCTCTTCTGTGCTTAGTCGCCCGACCTGAGCATTCAAGTCTCCGGCTAGTACTACAATATCTGTCGAATGCACTTTCTGGAGAAGAATAGTTAACTGGTGGTAGAATTCATCCTTGATTGCATCCAGGTTGCAATCTGTTGGGGCATAAGCGGAGATGACGAAAAGACATTGTTTCTCACACAGATTTTTTATTACTTTGATAGAACTTCCTAATTTAATAGCACATAACCGACTGTTAATGGGGACTCAATCGATTAGTGCTGCCTCAGCTCTAGCGCTTAGTGCGACACCAACGACAGCAAGGCCAGACGAAGATGCTACAGAGTCCCCGGATAAACGCACGTAAAACAATATTTTTGAAGTGACAAATGGAGAGCGAATTCGTAGCACTTCACCAGAGTCTTGAATACAGACAGGTCTCGGGTAGACAACACACGTCGATATTAAGACTTTCCAAAGACATAGCCAGCCCTATCTGTTGTCCAACCTGCATAAGTGTGTGAACGTTGAAGGCAGCCAGTTTGAATGGTGCACGTGGTTTCAGAAAAACTACTTCAGTACTCATATTCGGTGGTAACATACAATTTTCAACCGGACAGTGACTCGAGAACGTTTAGATAGAGTCGAATTTCCACCATAGATGAGTTGCTGTATGAGTCGAAAAAATAAGTATAGACAGAATAGGAATAAAAGAGGGTGAATAATGATGTAGTTAATAATAATAATAATAATAATAATAATAATAATAATAATAATAATAATAATAATAATAATAATAATAATAATTTGAATCATTTGATTGTTAGTTGAAGCAAGAAAAGTAGTTTCCATAATTATAGACAGTTCATCATTTGTGTGTGGGCTGTGATACCGCCCGGGTGCCCAGACCTAAGCAGCTGGTTTTCTTAGGTCACACCCCGAGCCTTTGACCTAAAAGTCTGACCCACAAGGCAGTGGAGCATCATAAGGAGATGCAATCCCATGGTAACCGGTGACCAAGAAATTGGTTCATACGCTATTTGTTCCTTCAGGATACGGGAGCCCATGTGCACCATTGGTTTGGGATCCGGTTAAAGCGCCGAACATTCGCTTCTCGTCCTCTCATTTTCGTAGACAACACCCCCCACCACGAGAAGGCAGTGAGTAGGACTTCCCTGGCAGAGGCTGTATACGCGTGGCTGTGTGAGAGAATTTCGAGAGGGAGAGCGGGTGGAGTTCACAGGAAAATTACAAATAGGGCTGATGAATCATCCACATTTTAGAGCTATGACGGAAATTGTTGAATCGATCTTTAAATAGCATGCAGAAGTGGTAAATTCCTTCAGAATGAACGTATCAACGAGGAGCTTCAGGAATTGTTGACAAGCAGTAATGTAAACGATACAGTAGCAGTCGTACACGATCCTCCAAATGGTCGAGTGATGGTCGTTTCAGAAACATGCCCTATGGTGGGTTCAAAACCAGTTATGCCCGAAGTAGAATGTACAATTAGTGAGTCGTCTTATTAAATGCACATGGAATTGTTGCAGTACCAGAGGACCAAGAACAAAAGATTCTGTAAATGAAGTTCCAAGTTCAGAACTGACCCTACATAACTCTAATGCTAAAATCCAGCCAAAACAGACTTATGGTTTACCTGATGCTTATCTCTGATCAGATTTCTCATGTTATTTTACTTTATATAAGTTATCCTAATAATTCACATATATCTAATGAGGCTCTTAGTGAATTTGAGGAGTGTATTTCAGAAGAATCAAATTCTAATGAAACTCCTGATTATGTCATATCATATGTTGTTTGTTCTCTCAATGTATTTGTCTTTAATAAAATCTTTGGTCAGTGTGAAGTATGAGTCCTGAATGAATTCAAATCTAATTACAGTTCTGATAGTCTCCCACATTAAATGTTGTTTGCCCTCACAAAACAGTCACTTCTAGTGAATTCTCTAGTCGGCATGAGAAATATGTTTTAAATGAGTTACATAGTTTGTTATTGACTGATCGAAATACAAGACATGCTTGTTCTTATTGTGACTGAAATAAGGGGACCTTATTTTTCATATGGAAGGCGAAACAAGGTCCATGTTTAATATTACCCATACAGGTGAAGTTCGCATAAAAGGACTATCCAAGCCCTATGTAAACCCACATACCCGAATACTCACATATAATGAAGGCACGAGTAATGTTCAGTTCAGGTTAATAAGGTCACATTATTTGTAACATCAGTATACGAAGACCCAACACTGTTTCGCGGGGGAGGAAAATGTTGGAAAATCGAAATTACTCACATATTTTTATTGGGATCTAACTTTATATGGAAACAAGCAAAATCATGTGAACACCTTATCTTCAAAAAAGGTGTTTTATCCGAACGAAGAATGGCATTCGCTAGTGCTAGTTGGTGTAATTGGTTTAGCTCAGGGAAAAGATCATAGAAGCCGATATTCCGGTTGGTGATTTTACCACGTGATATTTGATAGGGTCAGAAAGAAAACCATAATAATCTGGAACTCGAGTCATAGTCAGACTTAACACTTAAACTGCTTAGCAGCCGTGCTGCGAAAATTAATCTGTAAAATTCGGTCGGCATCAAAAAGTAGACGTGCTTCTGATTGCTTACCATACAATAGTAATTTCGGACCTGATATTCTTTGCACCAGTTTGTGGTTCTCAAAAGTAACCGTACGAAATTGTAGGTTACTAGGTCACACTCACTCGTTATTGAAGTCTCTCTAAGATTTAAAACTAAGTCAACAACTATGGTAAATACTAAAATAAGTAGTTTTTCACAAGTTCCTTCATTTTACAAGGCTTTAAATGAACAACTTAAATTTTTATCACTTCTGTTACAATAGTGTTGTATTTTATTACTATTACGATATATATACATCTCAATTTGAAGACCAAATAATTTCTTACGACTTCGTGAATAATGGTAATTGATAGTTTGTCATTGACTAAATTTTGCTGTGTAATCTCTATATCATTATTTCGGATGTATCTTTTACTCATGGTCTGAAATAGTTATTTATTTATTTCATTGATAGCCTGGAAGTTTTGTTGTCCGAGATAGCGGAAGTCATCCGAATAGTTTTGCGTTATCAGTACGTTCTAGTAATGGACAAGTAGCTGGTGGCTGTTTCCATTCTAGACAACCACATATGCCAGGAAGTCGAATCAAAGATACATCCTCCCAGTTGACATCAGTTTATCCATCTTCTGCAAGTGGAATAACTCACTTTCTTATCCAGAAGACATCTGGAGGTGGTGTGAAACTCAAAGTAAGTAGACTGAATGGTGCTCGTTATATTTCAAAATGTTCCTGGTTTACCAGATCGATAGATTCCATTTTGCATTTAGAAGTATTTCTCATTACAAATGGATACTAGCTGAGTTATTCGTTACTGTGGTTCAGGGGTTATTGGTTATTCATTTTATTCTGATGTATTATATAGGAGATAAAATGCGAATAACACTTGGCACTAAATAATTCGCACTATATGTGTTGATTGTTTGTAGTTTACTTTCCTGAAAAGACTGAATAAAGCCTTATCATAACGTTGTTGGAAATAATAGTTATTTTATAGTTTTGTATGTCATTTAAAAATCCTATACTGACCACTGTAAGCTGTAATGAAAGGTGATATACTGGATTAGCATAACTGGGAGTCCTTGTCTTTCGACAAGAGCACCGTTCTACTAAATTCTTGTAGCACTGACTGTGTAATTTTACCATCAAATATAGATCATAATGTGAGTCACGTATATTATATGAGTAGCTTATTTTGGTCTTCTTGACTCAGCAATTCTTTACACAGGAAGTGCAGTTCCAGTCAGCGTAGCTCTATTGGGTTACCTTGATATGTAAGTTTAACTGAAACATCATCCCGAAAAGACCGATATTAAGTAACTGGTTATCTAGAAAGATAGAGTTAACTACATGTTCACTAGGAAATATAAATAAACATCAGAAGTTCTCAGAAAGCGGCAATAAGCGATAAAGTTTCTTCTAGCCTCCTATATATTGAAAGAGAGTGTCTAATAATATACCCGCATAGTTCTTTCCTTGCAATTTTTTAAACTAGTGGATACTCTTTATCACTGATAAGTGATTTTATTACATGAAGCTATTGAGTTTATAGGGAATCGTTCAGATAGTACCTAGTTATAATTACAATATTGGACGAATGTGTAGTTTCATCAAATTCGAATTATGACAACTAAACAAACAACTTTTAATTGAAAAAATATAGTTTTTAGTGTAGCATCTTTGACACAGTTAAATTTTAACTTTTGGTTTTATACTCTTAATGTGATTTGTTTGACAGGTTATTAGCATTCTAGAATTTATCCTCAAAATTCGTTGCCCTATGAATCTCTGTCTAGTGAACCTTACTTAATGTGTCGTCATTCAATAAAACAATTTCTTGTTTATTAAACGTGTTTTTGATGTTTAAACTGGTATTATTACACTGATTAAGATAATTTTTTAGATATTTTAAGATGATTATTATGGTCCTTTATGTTTGAAAATCCTCAATTCTCGTTTGTAATCCATGTTGATTTTTTAAAATTTGTTTTAGGGATTAGATAAAGAATGGCCGTCACTTGCTTGTCTTGTTTTACACTTAACTGTAATGCCTGAAATGCTCCCTTGCCCACTTCGACTTCCAAGAGCTGCAGCAAATCCCACCTTTTCGCCTACTGACCATTGTGTTGGTCACAATGACTTTGAGAAACCGCCTAATATTACTCCGTCACAATTTCGTCCAATGTGCAATGCCTTACAACGTGTAACAGATACAATTTCACTAGATGAAGCTTTAGCTCGTCTAACAGATGAAGACGAAGATTATCAACGTTTATCTGATTTCTCTTCCATTATGGCTGATTTAAAATTACAGCCTAGAAATGTGAATAGAAAACATAAAGTTTCATCTAAATCCGGTGGCCGTGGTAGATAAATACTTTTTTTTTGTTATTGTTATAATGTGAAATCTTATTATAAGTTGTATTGGTACTATCACTTTACTACCTATCAATGTTTTGTGAAATAATTGTCTTACTTCTTTTTTTCTCTCTTACCTTTGTAAAGTTTTTGTGTTTGTGTGCGTGTGTGTATGTGAGAAAGAGTTTTTATCGTATATATTATTTTCTTTATTACAATACAAACTACCTCTTCAAATCAAACTAAATACACACCATATGTGTCTGGAAAAAGAAAACAACATTTCTAGTCCACTTTTTATTAAATTAGTTAATTATTATTTTTCTCTCTTTTAATTATCCATTTTGCTTGCTTTAAACGCATAATGATATGTAATGCGTATGCTAAGTTATATTATAATATACGTATTACATTTACATTATTTTATTGTTAATTAAGTAATACTAGTTAATATTCATTAAATTATATAATCATGACTTGATTTCATTATTCTTTTTCTTTTTGTTGTCCATTGTTATAGGTATATTAAATTTTTTTTAAAAAAAAATTCAATATTATTGTCATTAATTTTTGTTCTATTCGCTTTTCAATTGCTTAATTATAATTTATTATGTATATTCTTTCTATTTCTCTAATAATTTTCACCCATTTTAAAAAAAAACTTATTATTACTGGAATAGCATGGATGATAACCTGTTGTAAAGTCACTTTTATGTACTGCTCCCCAATCAGTTTGTTAGAGGTCTTATTAATAATAATAATATTTTGGTTTTATTAATTTCTGATCTTTTTTTTACAACAAACCGGTATAATTCATTCATTCTCACATTTCCTCCCTTTTTTTTCTTCATTTGCTTTATCATCTTTTATTTTTGATCTTAATTTTACCTCTCTCTATTTTTCTTAGAAATAAGGAAATTAATGCAAAATACTACCTGGTGTATTTATTTGTTTAAGTAAAGTGTTAAAGCATTTAACTCTTATATTTTCATCACTTGCAATCATATATATATGCGTATATCATGTCAAGGGTATTCATTTTAATTGTCTTTTTACCATTGAAAATAAAGTGTACTTTTATTGTATTTAAATTTTTGCTTTCCGTTTTCTCTTTTTCAATAAATATTTAAGTAAGATGATTGGATTCGATGTTTTTTCTTCTTTTCGGATTAATTAGTACATACTACAAGTGTACCATTACTGTCTTTAAGTTTACTTTATACTGAGATATGTTTATTTACAATTTATTTCTAAATTGTTCATGTCCTAATATCGACTAAGTTACTTCTGGTTAGCGTTTTTTAGCGAGTTAGTTTTCTACGGGATGAAGTTGCTAATCCCATACCCGACCTTCCTTTACCCGGGCTTGCGACGGGCAGTAACTCTAGAAGAGCTACAGGAGGAGTTAATGTCGACTAAGTATTGTGTTTGTATTTTGAAACATTGATACAAATAACTTATGATAGTTAAGCATTTTCATTTTATAATTTATTTATTTGGACACATAAAAGTTAGTGCAAAGGGGCACTAAATACATATACGCCACACGATAATAATAAGGTTGTGAAGAACTAGAGAATGGAGGGTTAGTATTATAAAGGAAAAGCAACAACGAACAGAAATTGGTGAATGAGAGTGAAATAACAATAGTAATAATAACTATACTAGTGATGATAATAATGTGATGAACAATTCATTTAGAGAAAAAAATACGAGAAAGAACTTCAGTCGAAGAAATCACGTTCACTTTTATGAAGAAAGTAAAGTCACGGCAGGATCGCCACTGCCTTCTACTATAAGCCGTTTTTGATAACATCTACGGGATTCCGACCAGGGAGTCGTGAAGGACCAACAGAAGCCAGTCCTGTTCAGTTTTCTTTCATACCATGACGCTATGTTGTGCGCTGATCACCACTCGGCTTTTCACAACCACTCCCAGTGTCGTCAAATAATACACGACGTGGAATTCTCTGAGATGACATTCGTAGAACATGTTCAAGTAACCGAATTTGATGTTTCAAAATGGTGACACCAATTGGATTATCGTCTCTGTGCCCGAACACACGATGTCGAACCTCTGCATTACTAACATGGTGTTGCCACTGGACGTCAGCAATCCTTTGGAGACAATGATGATCAAACACAGAGTTGTCTAACATCCTCAACTCGGAGAGGCCAGGTTTCACAAGCATAAAGCAAAAGTGTTCTCACCGACGCGTTGTAGACCCGACCTTTTACAGCTAGACTGACATCATGAAGGCGCCAAAGATGTCCCAGATTGGCATAAGCCGCTCTGGCTTTCATTATACGTGAATCGATCTCATCACTCACGCCATCACCAGCACTTATGTAGCTACCTAGATGCACGAACTTCTCGACTACTTCTGTCTTCTCAATTCGTGGAGTGAGTGCGGTATCAGGGTCTTGCCAGCCTTGTAGAAGTACTTTGCACTTCGAAGGTGCAAAGCAAATACCGTACCTACGGACATTGATTGCCAACTGATTAAGTGCGGATTGCGTGGCTTGAGCATTATCACACAGTAAGACAATATCATCTGCATACTCAAGGTCGAGAGGTCTTTTCCCAGGCAACAGATCCACACCGCCATTACTTGCATCCATCAGAGCTGTTTTTAGAATGTCGTCGGTGGCAAAGTTGAGGAATGGTAAGGTTAGGCAACCCTGTCTAACCTCAATGCTTGAACGGAACAATGGAAAAGGGCGGTTGTATGCCCTCATTCTGCCTGAGGTGTTTGTATATAGGGCCTTTAAGAAATTAATAAACTTCTCAGGGACACCATTCTTCAAAAGACAATCCCAGAGAACAGTCTTGTCCAACGAATCTAAGGCGTCCCTAATGTCGAGAAACTACGATTGTTAGTCTGTGATATGAATGATGGTAGCTTTCGACTCATCCCACTGATCATGAGGAGGCCGGACAGTCTGACCGGTGTTGACGTGGTTGCAAACCAGTTGGACTACTCCTCCAGATACTCTGCCCATCATCCAAGACGTCAGTAGATGTTATTGATTGGCATATTATTGGTTTCACAGATTGCTTAACACACACCACGCTTCTTGTTACCAGTGACTCGGATGAGTTGAAAGAGCTTGTGGAATCCCCAGATGCGACTGCTGCTTCTTACTCGTCAGGACGCTCCGACCATCAAATCTTGTCCTTACGCAAGCTTATGACAGTTTCATTACGCATTATTCTTCGTTTATTGTCAAGCTCGCGGTCATCTGTAGTAAGTTGACGTACTTCAGTGAGTTGTAAGGAGCCTGTAGAAACCCGGTGCTTATAAGCGGGACGTCTCGCGAAGCCGCAAGCGACTCTACTCGCCATTTTCATGAAGTCGTGTAGTTGCAGATAATGCTTATGTATATTTTTTGGTGAGCTGATAGTTAACCTTGAATCTAGCCCGGTTTGATGTTTAGTTGCAAAAGAAGCTGTAACCAACTTGCTGCCATCGATCCGTTTAGGTGGATGAATTTGTTGGCGACTGATAAAACTAGCTCAGATAAGGGTATGATAAGAGTCCAGATAGGTACTCCAGAAGGAGGGACTGTCTTGCACTCAACCACGCCAGCGGTAGCTGATCGCAATGTGATCAATCTGAGTCTAGGTTTGAGATGCAATGAAGGGACACGAGAAAGCACATCGGCGATGACTGTGCCGGTCATTAGTGCTATCCAGAAACGGGTTGTAGTCTGCACAACATTACACTCAAACTTATAAAGGAATGAAAGGACTTTCTTATTTCATAAAATTTAGGATATCTTTTATTATGTTTATCGTGAATACTGATGCTGCTCTTTCTACGAATAAATGTAAAGTGGCGGTTTTGAAATTTGGACCACCTTTCTTGACCAGTTTGTCGAAGATGCGAACTTCGCAGTCTTTTTGTATTGAATAGACTGATACGCGATTCTTAAACCAAGTTTTATTCCTATTGTGTAGAACATATAAATAAGTATTCTACTGTATTTCTATTCACTAGTTATTTGTAATATACAGAGGCAAAGTACATTAGATGCATTTGACTTACTGTCTAACCTGTTTTCGGTGTTATTCTACCGAAATTATTGAAATTCCTCATTATTTTCCAATTATTTTAATGCCAATAAATAACGTTCATACTACATCTGTGTACGTCACATCTAGTTGCTTATTTTTATTAGACATCTCGTTTTCTTCTGAAGTTTTACCAGACAGTATTTTTGATTATGTGATAATGAAATAATGGCAAGCTCAAAGTTAACAATTATTTATATTATTATTGATTGTATCACAATCACAGGTTCAAATCCTTAATCTTTGAAGGTGTAGAAGAATGAAGAATACGAATGCGATACCACAAACAGTTCTGAGTAATCCTATCTCAAGTTTTCAATACATAAATACAGGAGAATTGGAAAATCCACTAGTTGTGTGAAAATTTTTACGTTTTAGTAATTAATTGTTATATCAGTCTTGTAATATTTCGACGATGATATGTCAGTACGTAAATAATGATCATCAGTATTGTAGATGATATCATTTCCAGATAACATAAATACCTGATTAAATTCTCAAAATGACCAAGTTTTTCCATATATTTAGTGCCTTTAATAGATTTAGAAATAAAACTAGTTTTTGTTTTTGCATATCAACGTTTACTATCTTTAGTGTTAAGACTTCTGTCTTCTTCCTGCTATTACGATGTTCACTCTGCTTTCGAACATACATTTCAACTTTATTAATTAAAGTACGTTGAATTTACTGCTTATTGTAACTTTAAGCTGTTCACAGTTGATAAAAGGAATCTGAAATAGAATGAATCCTCTTTTTCTTAAAATCTTATTGTTCTCGCTTTGTTTAGATAAGGTCTTTGTTCATTATTATCATGTAGTATTTACAAAGTACACCTTATTATTCCGTTTCACAATTAGACTTACAATACTTAGTCGTATAAGAGACCGTCTTTCTACATTTTCAGAATTATGTTGAGAGAATTTTAAATAATTTAATACCAA